TCTCTCTCTCTCTCTCTCTCTCTCTCTCTCTCTCTCTCTCTCTCTCTCTCTTTCTCTATTTCTCCCTCTTCGAATGATAAAATAAAACTTCCAGTCAAGTTAAATTTTAAAGATACAGTCGATATTTTGATAATAAATTTTAGCAGATAAATTTAAAATCTGTAAGAAATAAAACTAAAATACAGTACAGATTTCTATGATAATAAAAAAACATTTTTATTCGTTGTTAAAACTTTTACAATTATCCAAGAATTTTTTCTGATTTTTATACAATCGGGAACAATATAAAAATCTACATTAAATCTACATTAAAATTCAAAAATCTAGATTATTAACGCAAAAAATATAGACATACTGATGAGAATCTAATTAAAGAGAAATTTTTTAAAATTTTATATTCAATTAAAACGGGTTTTAGTACTTAATGTTTCTGTGTGAATTTATATACATATTTGATTCTGCAAATTGCTGAAATCTTTTTCCGTCTTGAAGCATTTATGAGCAGAACCGGAGTAGTAATATCACTTATTAAATTGACAATGCAATTTAATAATTTGTTGTGCTAAATATCTTTATAATATTATTACAAGAATATTAATAATTATATGTTATTAAAAATTTTAAATTTGCGAATAATTTTATTGCAACAAATTTATTGTTAACACAAATCATACAAAATTCCACATAGTTGACAGCTTAAAATATTGTTATATTTCATATAATACTACTTAAATGTTGCTGGCTTAATTACGTAATTACGTTTTAATAAAATGTCAATATCCCTTTCGGGTCTTCTTTGCAAAAATATAATCCCCATTAGAGATTAATTGAAACTTATTAATAATGATTTTCAATAATGGTTTTCGACATTTACAGCGAATTATTTCTTAAATTAAAGATGGAACGTTCGATTCGACTTACCTGTCTACAATCTTGCCGCCGCGTCAGTATCTTTCGCGATTCTTTTATAATTCACGGGAAATATTGACTTCGATTTAATTCACTGCTTGTTCGCAGTTATCTCTCGTGGTTATCCTTCTCGTGGCAGGAAAAAGCATCGAAAAGCTCAATCCGCCGCTTCGCAAGAAGCAAGGAGCTATTCTCTGGACTGAGTCACGTACGATTCTCCGGGGAGCCGACTCTCTACGAGAAGGATAGTATTTATCATTCCACGCACGTGGTGCACGAAATTTACAATTCAGATGCAAAAGAAGCGGCCTCTGGAGTTTCGTATTAAAGATTGCAATCGCAATCGCATAAACAATGACACGGTGTAATATGACGATAATACATATAAACAGCAAGCTAGCGCAAGAAACAAAATAGGAAGAAGAAAAGATGATTTTGCTGAAGTATTTAAAAATTTATAGATCACTGAAAATATTGTAATTTTGTTGGATCATCAAAATAATTTTATAGGACTCAAACTGATTGTTAGAATGTCAAAACTTTTTGCAACATTACTCATCAAGCTTGAATTTTCATAATTAATAGTAATCATTTTGATGGTGCTAGAAAATTATTTTCAGCTCTGTATCTATCTAAATTTTTAAATACTTTAGCAAAAACTCGTTCAGTTCAATATCTTTCTTTCCAGTAAAGATATTGAAAACCTTTCTGTAGATGAAAATCTTTCTGTAGATTGTACTATATATAGTGTGTAATATATGAAAATTCTGGAAAAATGCAGACGTAAAACACAAAAATTTCCGAAATTGAATGTTTTATAACGAAAAAGATGAATAATATGAATATATAGAACCTGTTATTGAATTAGGATTTATCTTGAAATATACGCATCATTAAAATAATATAATATTTTTTCTGCTCGAAGTTCACTTCATAAAAAACTAGAGCAAAACTAGAACAATACATAGCCAAAAATTTCAACAATAACAAGGTTTTTTGTTACATAACCACGTCCAATTAATTTTATATGTATCTTCAGAGTGAATTTGTTTTGTTTTATCGTTCAACAGCAAATGAACGCAAACGATCAGTGTATAAAAATTCATTTTGACTCGCTCGCCATGCAAGTCAATATGCGGGACGCTTGATCATTCATTCTCGAGCAAAGTTCTCCATCTTCTTCTCTTTCGCTCTCTTTTTCTTTC